CGACGTTCCACTTGATGCTTCTGGTGGAGACCTTCAGAGCATCATTGATCCTCTCCAGGACCGTCTGCAGCTTTTGTTTCTGGGCAATCTCAGATTGAGTCACCTCTGCAACATTCAGCTTCTCACCTTCAAGCTTTTCTACGGGATGGAAACACAAGGCCAAATTAGAATGGAGAAAATGGAGAATGGAGAAGATCTTGAGGAGTTCAGGTAGAGTTTTCCTGGATATCTAGTCAAATATAACCAATACATAGTAGCCATACTGTAAACTAAACAGAGATGCTTTACCAAAGAGCTTCTGGAGAACCTGCCCATCATAGAGATCTTCAGCCAGGTCCTTCACGATGATCCTTTCTCCAACCAGAACATCGTTGATCCAGTCAATGAGCACCTAATTTGGGCATAATCATGGTTTGGAACGACATGAGGGTGAATATATAAATGACAGAATTTACATTTTTGGTTTTAAACACAAACCTTCATGAGTTCCTGGAGTTTTCGGTCATTTTTTGAGTTGGGGTCCACCATGGTGCGGACTTCATTTTCCTCTGTGAGGAAGAGAAAGAGACAGGCAGGAGGAAGGTGTAAGGGCATATTATTAACCGGAGCGAGCATCAATTGAATAATGAGGCTACGGGTTCACCTACCTAGCATGATGTCCTCAGGATGAAGCTCAAAAGGTGTGGGACTCAGGGGGAGATTAATGGCGTTCATCCCCTCCTCCTGCAGCTCAGATACTATGGGATACAGGACACATTGGGTGAGAAATGACAAATTATTTCTGAATAAAAAAAAGAAAAAAAAAAGAAACAGAAAATAAATCAAGTAGGGTTTTTTCACCTTCATATTATTGCGGTTATACAAGTGGTTGACAATATGATCATTTGCCTTGTTAGATTATAATGAGTGCTGTGGAGAAGCATCTCTTTTACTGTAGATAGTTAGGGTTAAGGATCCTTTTAACTTCCCAAACTTAAAGTCAATATGAAAAACCATTTACAAGCCATTTTACTTGTTACCTGACATATTTTAGAGTGAAAGTGGATATTACTATACACTACTATTAATACGTTTCAGCATGTACTCATTAAATTAATCAAAAGTGACAGTAAAGACATTTATAATGTTAAAAATGTATTTCAAATAAATGTTGTTCTTTTGAACTTGAACTATGATCTACTCAAAGAATCCTAAAACAAAATGTATCACGGTTTCCACAAAACTATTACTTTTTCAAAACGACATTGTTTTAAGCACTGATACTGGTAAGAAATGTTTCCAAATCAGCACTTTCGAATGATATATTACATTTTAAAAGATATTAAAGTAGAAAACAATTATAAAAAATTATAAATATTTCACAGTATTACCGTGTTTACTGCATGTTTGATCAAATAAATGGAGAATAAGAAACTTGGGTAACTCTTTAGTATAGGGACAAATTCTTACTATTAACTAGTTGCTTAATAGCATCCCTATTAATAACATATTTGGCTGTTTATTAGTACTAGTATTTATTAGTATTAGTACCATATTCTATATCCCTAATCCTACCCAATACCTAAACTTAACAACTACTTTACTAACTATTAATTAGCAGCAAATTAGGAGTTTGGGGCAAAAGTCATAGTTAATGGTTTGTTAATAGGGCGAATTGGACCTTAAAATAAAGTGTGACCGAAACTTATTTAAAAAAAAAAAAACATACATACATATATATATATATATATTTCTTACTGACCCCAAACTTTTAAACAGTAGTGTATATTATATCCATAAAGTAGTAATTAATAAATATGTAAATAAATAAAAATGAATGTATTAAAATATATTAAAAATGTATTAAAATATATTAAAAATACACTAAAATATATTAAATTTGATTTATAAATGTTAAATGAAATATTAAGTAATTAAATATTATTGTTTGTGCTATGAAAAATATTTAGCCACCAGAGTATCAGAGACATCAGATGGTTTAATTTTTTTTTCTTTTTTCACTTGGCCAAGTAAGCACTACCACAAAAATCAAAAACACCTTAGCAACCACATAGCAACACCCTGGCAAACTACCCATAACAACCTAGCATCAGAGTTCACATTTTCAGCAGAAATTGTAAAAATGTATATATTTATTAGACTTTAGGAGAACTTCAATGCATCAACATTCTCAACATCCTCAGAGAAACAAAACATCCTGTGCTGGATTCCAGAGGCCGCCCATGGAGGACGATATCCTATTAATCAACACCCTCTCGACCTCACACACAGCTGCTCTCCCGCTGCTTCTTCTCACTGATGTGGGGGCGCATACAATCCAACGGCATGACAAAGACCTCATGTATCTTGTACTAGGGTGAGCATTAAGGTTAACATGGGTGACTGGATGGATGTCAAACAATATAAACACCACAATTTCTTCAGAAATTGTCCAGTTACCTACAACTCCACCAGAAGATTCTGCTTGGAAAGAGCTAAAAATAAAAAGCTACATTATTTATTTATTTATTTTTAATTCACAGGACAAAAATAACACTAAATAGGTTTGAAATGACATGAAGGCATGACAGGAATGACCCTTTAAGTTGTGGTAGTCATCCTGCATTCTTTTAATTCATATTTCCAATTGTGGAACGAAAGCAATAAACATAAAATGCACTGCCTCCTGGGTACAAGCCACAAAATATTCCTCATCAAATCATACATCAATTACCCATCCAGATCACAGTTTTCGTCCTGTGTGTGGGTGAATAGGAGATGGAGAAATAGACAGAGTATCAGAAGGCTCAGCTGCTTTTTCCTCTAATTCAGCCTTGCGAGTGCTGATGGATGCCACGCAATCATTGCAGAAGTGCACTCTGGGAATCGTGCAAACTCCAATGTAATGGGCAGCGGCACACTGCCTAATTTACTTACCCTGGATAAGACCACAACAACAAGTCTAATATATTTTTATTTGTTAAGGATGCGGATCACTATAACTTGTCGGGATTATTGGGTATTGTAGCCTAGAGCCGCAGCTGTTCTTGTTTTAAGGCTGAGATGACTCTCATTCCTGTACAATCTTAAACCTCATTCAGAAAGAATACCTTACATGGTTAGAAGAACACTGCTAAAGCTGGGTGTTAGCTTAAGACAGCGCTTAAGAACACTTTATAATGTGCCAGCCAACCTGTGATTTCAGGTCTATAAATGGCTGATTAGTGTTTCTCAAGACTGTAGTCTAGAGGTTTTTGTCAGAATGATTTGATGACTCAGACATTTTTAGGTGTGGTTGAACACTTTGAAGGATTTGTATAATCATGCCTCCAGGGTGCATACTTTAAAGTGCTACTTGCCAAAACGGAGCACAAAAAAAAAATCTCTTAACTAAAAGGTAAAATCTTAACTGAACCGCTATTCATGGTTGTGACACGTTTTTGAGGTCAGTGTGTCATTGAGTAAGTTACAGTCGAGTGCCAGTCAATGGCTACCAACATTCTTCAAAATATCTTCTTTTGTGCTCAACAGAAGAAACTCAGGTTTGGAACAACATGAGGGCAAGTAAATGATGACAATTTTAATTTAGGGTCAACTATCCCTTTAATGAGGAAAATCCCTTATATTTTTATGGTACGTTTATTTGTAATGTTTCTACTACTTGCCTTTCTAATTTTATTGTCGCCTCATTTGTCAAATAACATAAGCACTACGAGCTGGAAAAGAGATGTTCAAAAGAGACGGTTCTCGATTCAATGAGTCGATTCAACCGAGTTGGAGAAACGCAAGGACCGATTCGATTTAATTCGTGAACGAATCGCTCAGAACGCTTTTGTAAAGTGATTTAAAAAAAAGAACCGACTCAAAAGAACGATTCGTCCGCGAATCGAACATCGCTAGAAAGCGGCACAAACTTGGGATTGTAAACATCACATTTTTCGCTACCTTAAAAACACCCGTTATCGTTTCTTTTTCGGGTTTTAAAGTATATACGAGGAATAAGGAGGCTGATAAGAGTTAATAAACGTAACGTTATTCCTGCGCGGCTGCGCCCATACAGTTGGAAGAGGGAATTATTCAGACTTCTGAAGAAGTTGGACTTCAGATCAAAACTGTCATGACTGGTAAGTTTGTTTAATACTTAGAACGTGCAAAATAAAGCGTTTTAATCTAAATCGCTACCTTCTTTCGCCTTTTTTCTCCTGGCCAGAGTCCCACCAAGTTTCCCCAGAAATGAGTCATCTTTCTTTCTGGAGGACGGAGACTTTGGAGTTGGCGACTTTGGAGAAGACGGAGATTTCTGCGGGGAAGACGCCATCGGTTCAAACGAACAATCAAGGACTGAAAAGTGTAAATAATATGCTATTTCCCCCGCTGAGGGAGTGAGTAAAATCCCAGGAACAGGAACGGAAACGGAATTCCAGCTATTTGCCCAGCCTTCTAAAACGAGCTTCCCTTATCGTTCGATCCCACCCTCTTTTCCAAAGGGAGACTGTTTAGAAAGTAAAGCCAATTTTATTAGTACTGCCGTGAGATATGAAGTGCCGAATGTAAAACAATGCATACAAACAAATAGCCTAAATAAATAAATGAAATAAAAATGACTTAAAACTAGCTTTTTAATAGTATTTAATATTTTACATAAAAAAATGAAAATGTAATATTCTAATAGTTCAAATGTTAATATTTTAAATCTTAATGCATTGAAACTACGCATTTAATTTTTTCCTTGTATTATTTATACTTAGATATAATAAAATATTTCAGTGTTAGTATATGTAAATTTAGAGACTAAACATGTTAAAATTCATATGTAAATAAAAAAAGCTATATTTTATAATATACTGTATTTTTTATTTATTCTATTATTTGATAATATACAGAAGCTTATCAAATATTATAAAACTCATAACAATATTTTTTAATTATTTTCAGTGTTAGTACACGTACATTTATAGAAATTAAACATTCAAATTCATATTTAACCTTAAGAAATATTTCTGGAGATAATTAGAGTCCACTCATTGTTTTTACATTTATTAAATAAATTACACAAGGCAAACAAAAATCTTAATTCTTGAAACAATGATATTTGGTTTTACTTTAGAAAGAGCGGCAATTTAAGGTCACTTAAGATATCATGTTCATTGCAAGACTAAGAGACAAACAAATACTCAACAGACACACTTTATCACTGCCGTTAAACTTTGGCCTCTATTGGAATATTTACTAAAGAACGGAACAAACATTTCAACAAAAGTTTCAACAAAACAGGAACGATAAATCAAACAAGTCCAAGAAAAATAGCTTTAACTATATAGAAATATCATTGCACCAGTGTGAATAACATTTGCAGTCAGTCCTCTCACCTCTGTGGCTGTGCAACCTGTGTTTTGAAATCTAACATTCATCATTTTCAGTTAATAAAGAGGCACGTGTTTGGTTTTTGGTTTATTTCTTTTCAAGAACACACAAGGCAGCATTCAGTTGGGTTTGATTAAACAAGCGTGTTCCAGTTTGTTCAAGATCCAGAAGTTGATCTTCAAATAAGGCTCTCTCAGTCTAAAGTAGTTCTTCTTGCAGGTCACTACAGCAGCTCTTCATCCAGTGTGAGAAGTTCAGGTCCAGTGAAACTGATAGCCTCTGGAGAGGATCATGCTCTCCAGATCTCTGTCCTCGGCTTTCTCCTTCAGCCGTTGCTCCTCCAGCAGACTCACCAGTTTGTCTCTGTTCTCCACCACCTTCATGATCTCCACCAGCAGGCTCTGCTCCTCAGTCAGCTCACTCGCACTCTTCTCACAGTCTAGAAATGGAGGGAGTACAAAGAGAGGCCTATCGTCAGTAAAAAGGTAAAATATTTTCGACATAACTTCTCATTTTCACCATGTAACAAGGTTTAATCACTTTGAATAACTTCAAATATGTTGTATGATAAGCATGACACCATAATCAGGTATTACACAATGACACCTCTGTCGCAGGCTTAATGCCGCATGTGTCTCACTGGTAAACAGTGAGCTTCACCACCAAGAACTAAAATAAACTTGTGTTTGCCGGAGGCTGAGGGACCAACCATTGACTTGCAAATGAAGACACTATCACCTTCCTCAGCAGCTATCAATTCCTGTTCACAAGTAAATGCGCCACTACTTACAATATTTTATCACTCTAACAACCAATTATCCAATCCAATATCAGATTCAACATTTGAAAAGGTGGTCCACAGACCTAAATGGTTTTACATTTAATGTGCAATACATCCACGATGACGACTTTCCAGTTATTAGATCAGGTCTGTAACCATTATGTTGCTATATCTCTATAATATCTTTCTAAAGTTTGAAATAATTATTACCATTTTTTAAAAATGTTTTTGAAAGAAGTCTCTTCTGCTCACCAAGGTTGCATTTATTTGATCAAAAATACAGTAAAAACGGCAATATTGTGAAATATTATTAAAATGTAAAATTTTAATATATTTTATCATGTAATGTATTCCTGTGATGGCAAAGCTGAATTTTCAGCATCATTACTTCAGTCTTCAGTGTCGCATGATCCTTCAGAAATCATTCTAATATGCTGAATTGCTGATTAAGAAACATTTCCTATTATTATTCATGTTGAAACGGTGTTGCTGCTTATTAATATGTTTGTGGAAACCATGATACATTACCATTCAATGGTTTGGGGTAAGTAAGATAAAAAAATTAAAATAATAATAATAACAACTTCATACTTTTATTCAGCAGGGCACATTAAATTGATCAAAAGTGACAAAGACATTTATAATATTTCATTAGATTTCTATTTCAAATCAATGCTGTTCTTCTGACTATTCTTCAAAAAATCCTGAACAAAATTTTTGTGCAGTTTCCACAAAATATTAAGCTGCAAAAACTGTATTCAACATTGACAATAAAAAGAATAAATACTATTAATAATTGATCATCAATAATAATTGATAACAATAAAACTTAACACATTAAAATATATTCATATAAAAACAGTTATTTTAAATTGACAATATTTTTACAAAACTACTGTTTTACTTTTTTGATCAAATAAATGCAGATTTGGTGAACATGACTAATAAAAAAAATATATATTTTTGAAAAATTTTAAATATTCCAAACTTTTGACCAGTTTTGTACATATAATAACAAACCCACCTTCAGTGGCCATTCGTCGTCTCATATCTTGTTGTAGCCGACTTTGAGTGTCCTCCAACTCCAGTTCTTGAGCACTAGAGACAAGAGCATGTGTAAGACAAGTATAAAATTAAAAACCTTGATTAAAAAAAACTGTAAGAGTCACAGTACTTACAAGATCATGAGTTCAGACTCATATCGCGACAGTTTGTTCTTCTCCAGGACCAGTTTGAACCAGGTTTGCAGTAGCGTGGTCTCATCTGTGGACTCATCGCCTGTGGAAACGACATGACATAGGCTAAATTTACTGAACACTGAAATCTATAACACGACTATTATGACTCAATCATGTGATGGTGCCAGATTTGAATAGACTTGGTTCCTAAACATTTGATCTACAGTGTACAATGCGAGTCAACTGCTACTGAAAAACATCCACTATTAGCTAATGACTTTTACAATTTTTTGTGATGAATAAAAAATAAAAGCAAAATTAAAAATGTAAACTTTTACAAAAAAATAAATGTAAATATGAATAAAGTATATAAACTAAATACTAAAATGAAACAAAATAAAAGAAATACTAAAATGAAATTAAACAAGAAAAAAAATTATCAAAATAAGTAAAAAACAATATATATATATATATATATATGGAGATTGTCCTTCTATAAATTCTAGATATTTGAAAACTTTAAATGTATATTCATATTAGAACTTCCCATTACTTGATTTTCTAGGCCCAGAAAATACTATTTTAAAATCCCGATATTTTGAGGTTTTCCGTGACTGGAAACCTCATGCATGCTTATTAGTTGTTCAAATCTACAAAATAACAATTTTAGGACCATGTTAAATACTTCAAGTCAAACAAAAGCCAAATACTACTATTATTTCGCTAATAGTCTCCCATAGTGCCACAATGTTCGAGTCTCCCACATTGACAGTTTCAGAGCATTGTCTTCTACATACTCCAACTCTCTATCCATTTGAAGGCCGCAAATGTCAGTTAACAAAGAACCTATTCAACAAAAAAGCGCACCCCACAGCCCCTCATCTTAATACAATTATCCACACAAAGACACGTAAACATGCCAAACAATGGATTCTGGCAGGTCAAAGTGCACCGTCACAAAAGATTTGCCCCCATGTATTTATTAATAGCATTCTGCTGCCCTCAATGAAGTCTGTTGATAGAAGACACACTGTATCCTTGCTGTCCACTTCACAAAAGGGACGTCTTCTATACCGCCTGCATCCTTGCAGCATTATGAAAGAGAGAGAGGGGTACTTTTACGAAACAAGGCCAGGAATAAGATGTCACATGACACACTTAAAGCAATGCATTTTCTTGCTTTATGCATTAATACTATGGCAGCCTTCAACTATAAATCTAGGAGCAAAGTTCCATCTTTGCATTTCCAAGTAGTTTCATTTGGTTTCTTAATGCCTGTCTAGGTTGTAGGATGTCAAAAGAGGAATTTCTGAGGAAGCAGAAGTGAATTTATAGGAGATGTTAAAATTCAATTTACAGTCCTTATAATTAGAGCTTAGAGCTTTCAAAATATGATTATAAACTCTTTATGCAGTATGTTAAAAGGCTGCTGCGATTTGGCATTTTTCATTTGGAAAGACTTGTTGCCTTTAATAATCCCCACGTAGATCAACATTCACCAAAATAATGAAACATCACATTTTCAGCTCATTTGGAGGCACTTTTCCCTTTCTCTGTCTATTTACAGAACCCATTACATCTGCAGTCATTTCAACATAATTTTGACTCTAAATGGCCATTTAGTTCGAATGCAAATCACTATTATTTGAATCTCTAATTTCCCCCTCTAAAAAAGTCAAACAATAAGACAGCAGCTTATTTGCAGGTTGTCTTTGTGTACATGCCATATGGATCCAGACTCCTGATGTAGTATTAAAGTCCTGATGTGGCTCAAAATCTTTCTATGGACAATCACAATACATTGACAATACATATTCCATACAATAAAACATACAAAATAAATAAATTCATTCATTCATTAATTACTTAAATTAAAAAATAAAATAATTATAAAAAAAATATAAAAATAAAGAAAATATTACAATACAAAATTAAATACAACACAATCAAAAATTAAAATTAAGTATTACTATTAAAAACACACACACACACAATTTAAATGTACTGTATGTGTATTTTACATTTTACATTTTGTATTTTTATATTTTCTTTTTTAATAATTGTGTATTTTATATTTTAAATTATGTACAAATATCATCACAGTACATTGACAAAGACAATACATACACAATTAAACAGAATATAACATAATATTAAAATACAAAAATAAGTACATACTACATATAATAAAAAATTACAGGCTAGGTAATGAAATATATAATTTAAATATATATATTTTTTATGTATTTTTGTACTGGGTATGCACTGTCAAATATTTTTTACTGTTATGTACTGTCTTATTATAACACACACACACACATACATATATATATTTGTTAGAGATGCACCGATTGCAATTTTCTTGGCCGATTCCAATTTACGATTTTTTTGTACGTGTGACCTGCCGATACCTATTTTTGCCGATTCCGAATTTCTTTCTAAAATCTATAATTGACAGCATATACAAACAAAAATCTATACTTTTTTTTTTAATGCAAATAAAATTATTTACATTAAAAAAAAATTATTAAACATTACAATTCCCCCAATCTGGACAAAGTTACAGTTGTTCTCTCACTTAAACAACTCTCAAAATAAAGTGCTCTGTGACTAGAAAAAAGGTAGAAATAAACTGTTTCTTAAATTGTCATTTTTCACTAACCTTATTAAATGTCATCTTTCACATCAAATTCTTACATTGTTTTTAATTAATTGAGTTAGAATAATAAGAAACTGTAGAGCTGTTACTGTTCAAATGAAATCAGTATCAACAAACTCTTTCCAGAAGCTGCATCTGAAGTGGCATTAGATGTATTTACTCAGACTGTTTGATGAAGCTGAGGTGCCATAAATGCATTTACACTGCAAACTTTCGAATGCATAAAGAATTTTATAAGATTAATGTTTTAAATATTTTTAAACA